GTGTCCTCTCTGGGAGCTGTCTCTGCTGAGACACATCCCCTCTCTGTCCTCTCAGAAAGCCGCCCTGGAAGGCACACTGGCAGAGACCGAGGCCCGCTACGGAGCCCGGCTGGCGCAGATCCAGGCGAGGATCAGCAGCATCGAAGCCCAGCTGGGTGACGTGCGGGCTGACACCGAGCGACAGAACCTGGAGTATCAGCAGCTCATGGATATCAAGTCTCGGCTGGAGCAAGAGATCGCCACCTACCGCAGCCTGCTCGAGGGCCAGGACGCCCACTACAACAATCTGCCCAACGTCTGAGCGTGTGTTGAGTGCGAAGGCTCCTGGGCTCCTGTCCTCCTGCAGGGGGAGGCCCCTGGGCAGGGGCAGGGGAGGGGAGGGACCTTACCCTGGCTCTTCCCGACCTGCCAATAAAACTTTATGGCCCCAGGGAGGAAGGATGTGTGGTGGTTATTTCAGCCCATGGAGAGATGGGGCAGGCCTTGGCCCTGTTCAGGTTTTATTTGAAATAAAGTCCACTCTGTCCCAGGAAAGGGAAGGGAGGGCAAGGGCGCTCAGGTCCTTCTGCTGTGGTGGTAATTCCTGCTTGCATGTCTTTAAGCATTTCTTCTATTCTGCAGAGGGGTAAACTAAGGTTTAGAGAGGCGAAGGGGTTTGTCGCATGGGTAACTGCTCTAATAATGGCAAAGGTGGGGTTTGAAACTGTGGTTCCAGATTGAGTTCTTTCTGTTGTACTACTCTCTTGGGGGTTGGGGAGAATGAGTGTGTGTGTGTGTATGTGTGTGTGTGTGTGTGTGTGTGTGTGTGTGTGTGTGAGAAATGGATGTTTATTGAACATCTACCATGTGGCATGAAATCAAAACAATCTTAAAAGTATGAGCTGCATTTTATGTATCAGGAAACTGGCTCAGATAGTGGAGTAACTTGTTGAAGGTCACATAACAAGTATATTTATGCCACAGCCAGAATTAGAATATATGCTTCCTGATCCTTAGTGCGTGACGTCACCTCCTGCCCAGGTGGTCTCTTAAAGTTGACATCATTTGTGCCAGTCTTGCTCCATATGAAGGCTCTGGACTGGGATCCTCTGGGGTGGTTCCTCCCCACACATTTCTCCTAACGTAAACTGGGGCTTTGGGGTTAGATATTCCGCTGGCTGGAGAGGGTGTCCCTATCCCTGTGTGTTTTTGTTCCTGCACTAACACATTTATCCTTCCTGGGGCAACCCTGCATAATCCCCTTACACCTACTAGCTCATGCCTGGGCCCAGAGACTGGAATGGGACCCGGCTGTGACCCAGACCTCCCACACAGACCCCCAACCTGGCTTGCCTGGGGCCTGCCAGGGACCAGCAAAGGCACCAAGTCCCAGCTTCCTGGTATGGCTCTGCCCTTGGGTGGGTATGGTCCTGCCCCTGTGGTTTACAGCTCAGCTGTCAAGAACTGAGGCCAATTCAAGGCAATCAGAGGCCCACAAATCAGTCCCACTTCCCCTGGGTGGAGGGCTTCCGGATAAGCTCTCCATGACAGAAGGCTGACCTGTGGAGGAGGGGGCAAGGGATCCACCTCACACCTGCATTCTACTTCTATTGGAAAACTGACAGCTATCCTCGCTGCCCTGTGCCAGGGACACTGCCAACCCTCATGCGGATCCCGAAGGGGGTGTTAACGCCTCCATTTCCCTGCAGATCTCAGAGAGGCCCCCTAGTTTGACCACGTGCCCCAGGGTCCAGTTCTTCCTTGGCATTGTGCAGCCCCAGGGCAGCCCTTCTGCCCTCTCTGGGCTGTCCTGCTCTGGCCTCCCGGCCCCTCCAGCCCCTTCTCCCATTTAACGTCTCAGGAAGGTTTGGAGCACGAGGCAGAGGCCTGGCCACATCTCCAGGCTGGGACTGTGCAGAGATTCTGGTCCCTGCCCATGAAAGCCTCCCTTGTTGTCCCGGCTGAAACCCTCACTCTGCCCAGGGGCCCCTGGAATGTGGCTTGGGGCGGGGTCTGGGCGCACACAGGTGCGGCCAGCTGGTGACTGGGTCCAGGTCTGGGAGTTGGGAATGAAGCCTTCCTTTGTGTTCGTGGGGTGAGGGGCAGGGCAGGAAAACTCTTCCGTCTCCGTCTGGGAGCTGCACCTGAGGAGACCTGGGTCAGGAGACAGAGGGCGCTGGGGTCTTCCCCCTCACTGCTGTTCATCAAGGCTGCTCCAGCATGTGAAGCATTTCCTGTCAACCCTCTTGCTCTAGCTCCGTGAGTCCGGCTGGGCTGGAATGATTTCCATTTTCCTGATGGGTAGACTGAGGCTCAGGGTAAGGCACCTTATCCAACACCACATGCCTGGAAATTGGGAAAGGAGGAGCTCAAAGGTGAGCCTTTAGCCCCCAGGTTGTGTGTTCTATCCCTGGCACACCCCTGGGGAACAGGAGTTGTGTGAGGAGGATCTAACCGTTTATGGGAACCTCCTTCCTATGTGCTCTTAAATGTTCTCTAGGGCCCTGTGGCTGGGGTCAGTGTTAATAGCTTCATTTAAAATCAGGAACCAGTTCCAGAAGCTGAGTCACGCCCAGAGGTGGCAGCCAGCCAGGGTCTTTCCACTGAGCTGCATGGCCCCATTTCAAGGAGGGAATGTCCGGCTTCAGGGACGCCTGTCTGGCTACAGTGGGCAAAGGACAGAAACTGGCACACAGCAGCCTGGGTTGGAGCCAGGGAGCAATCCTGGCAAGGCCATCCTGCCTGGCGCTAATGAGGAGGCCCTAGGGGCCCCGCCCAGACCTTGATTGCAGTCGCTGTTTGGACTGAAATTAAGGATTTGCAACCAGGTCAGGAAGGAGCCAGCTGCCTCCCCTGGCCTGGGCTGGAGAAAGAAGCGGAAACCTTATGAGGGGCTGCAGGAGAAGAATCAGGGTGCAGAAGGGGAGCTGGCTGGGGTGCAGACTCCCTTACCCCGGGGCGACGGCCGAGTAATTGTTCTGGGTTAATTGCAGGGGCCGCCATGTCTGCAGAAGCTTTAATGAGCTCTGGCTGATCTGGCCTTGATTATTTTTCTTTCGGAGGAAAAGGCAATATCCTCCCACCCATGAGACAATACTACCCTGTCTGGGCCAGAACTTGGCGGCCTGGGGTTCCTGTGTGAAGCTGGGTCAGGAGGAGTCCACCCCACCCTCCCAGACCCGCAGTGGTCCCTTCAACCCAGCTCAGATGCAGGAGTTGGAGTCTGAGGGATGGTGTTTTTTTCCTGTGCCTTGCTTCAGGAGGGGTCCGAGGATCTATCTGGGTTCTGGTGCAGACCTTTGCTAGCTGTGCCATCTTGCACAAATTGCTTCACCTCTCAGAGGGCCAATTTTTATCCCTTTTAAATTTGGGCAGGGGTCATCCTCTTTGTGGGGGGATGGATTAAAGGGGACAGTGGACACAAAAGTGCTTTTTAAATCATGAAGTGTATGGTAGCAGTGGATTACGTTATTACAGCAGAACTAAGATCCACTTTTGTTGCTCAGTTGGAACTGGCACAGGTGGGTGATGCTGCTAAGCTAGGAGCATGATAGGCTCACGAGGTAAGATCTGATGCCCACGGACAAAGGCCCTCCTGCTGAGGGTCTGGGGGAGTCCCAGGTGCTGGGTGTGCAGTCACCACTCTCTTACTCAGATGCTGAGAGCCAGGGGTGGCAGGCTGGGGCTCTTGGGTCTTAGTGCTTCCCTGGCAGTGTTAGCTGCAAGTACCCAATACCATAAAAAGAACATGTCTAGAGTTTCATATTCATCATTGATAGATGCAGGATTTGAATCTAGACCTCAGGACCCCAGAGCCATGTCTGTTCTTGGGTGCGGCCACCCCAGTCCAGAAATCTTCCTCCCTGTTCTTCAGCTTAGTCTAGCTCATCTCTACATTCTGTAGGCCAAGTGGGGGGGGCAGGTCATACATCTAAGTGATGCTATCCACAGGTGCCAGTGTCCTTGGAAAGTGGTGACCTGGAGCTGGTGGGCTGAGGAAATGTGTCTCCTGATTGCTCGACTGACCTTCCGTGTAAAGTGAAGCCTTGATCTTCGAGGTCTCTGGTGCCTTCCACCTGCTCGCCAGGCCTCCCCACCCTTCCTTCTCCACAATGCAAAGGCGTGCAGAGTTTTCTGGCTTCATCTCTCCTGAGCCTGCAGCAATTGACAGGACAAATGGGGGTTAATCTGGCCCTGTTAAGCAGCGACATGCCTCTCCCTGGAGAAGGCAGGGGCTTCTTGGAACTTGCCCCAGCCTTATCTGCAGAGGTTTGCCCCAACGCGTCCTGTCTGGGAGCAAGCAAAGGTTCAGTGACATGTGAATTTGGCAGGTGGCTGGATTATCAATCAGCCCCTTGTCAGCTCAGAGCCTGCTGGGCTTTGTGAGCTAGCCAGGGACATGGGGCTGGGGGCTGGGGGTTCTGGAGAAGCAGGAGTGGGCATCCAGGGAGGAGAGGTGGGAGGAAAAAAGTCTGTTTGCAGCACCAGGGACAGATGCTCACCCCCCTGGTCACTTCAGCCAGAATTTAACTCATTTCTCCCTCTCCTGTCTTTAGTCTGTCCCCTGAGTCCTATGTTCCCATCCTCAGGGGCCTGGGCCCCCTGTGTCCTGCAGGCTCATGCACATAGTCTTTGAATGAGAGAACACGGAGTGGTGACTTGGAGTGGGGTGCTGTCCACCCTGGGCCAGGGCAACAAAGTCTAGCTGAGGGCACTGCAGCTTCCCTGCTCTAACGGGATGGGCAGAGGCTGTGGGAGCTGAAACGTGCTGAGAGTTTGTTCCCTGCCGCTCTTTCTCCTGGGGTGGAGAGAGTGAACCTGTAATCCAAGTGTTAAAACTGTGGCCGCGGGGCAAAACACCATTACTTCTGAATCATCTCTTTTGTTGCATTAAAAAAAAAGAAAGAAAGAAAAACTGTACATGAGCCCTGTGGAGGTGCGCAGGCAGCTGTGTTTGTCAGGAGGACAGAGGAGTTGGCTTCGCTCTGGGGGAGGAGACAGGCCCACAGCACCCTCCGAGGGGTATATAAGGAGCCCAGGCTGGGGGCCACGGGCACTGCGCTCCAGGTCCAGCCCAGCCCGCACCTCCTGCCTGTGCCTTTCTGCCTGCTGAGAGCTCACCAGCACTGCTGCCCAGCCATGGCCACCACGTTGCTGCAAACTTCTTCCTCCACCTTCGGGGGTGGCTCGACTCGAGGGGGCTCCCTCCGGGTTGGGGGAGGGGGCTTTGGTGGAGGGAGTCTCTATGGTGGCGGTGGAAGCCGTAGTATCTCGGCCTCTTCGGCCAGGTTTGTCTCCTCGGGGTCAGGAGGGGGATATGGGAGTGGCATGAGCTGTGGCTTTGGTGGAGGGGCTGGTAGTGGTTTTGGTGGGGGTTTTGGTGGTGGCTTTGGTGGGGGTTTTGGCGGTGGCTTTGGTGGGGGTTTCGGTGGTGGCTTTGGTGACTTTGGTGGTGGCGATGGCGGCCTCCTCTCTGGCAATGAGAAGATCACCATGCAGAACCTCAACGACCGCCTGGCCTCCTACCTGGAAAAGGTGCGCGCCCTGGAGGAGGCCAACACCGACCTGGAGGTGAAGATCCGAGACTGGTACCAGAAGCAGAGCCCTGCCAGTCCGGAACGAGACTACAGCCATTACTTCAAGACCATTGAAGAGATCCGGGACAAAGTAAGTCTTCAGATGTCAAAGAGAGGGGAGCAGGTGGCAGGTGGCCTGTGCACATCTCTGACTCAGTGTAACTGCTGGCTGGGGAGATCCTCTCCTGCCCAGGCAATGACTGTGTGCAATGTAACCTTGGCATATTTGAGAAGCACCTGCTTTCCAGGTGCAGAGGCTGGTACACATTACTACACTTGGCAGTTTGCAGGGAGGGAAGGATCTTGGGAATCATGTTAGGGCAAATGGGACACAGGTGGGAGCGATTATAAAGAGCAACTCACCTTCCCTGTCCCAGACACCTTGCAGGGTTTGCATGAAAAGTTGTTCTTCTACCTTCTTGGCAGAGAGGGTGTTGTAGTATAACCTTATGATCCCTAAATGCCAGGACGTCCAGCCTCACGTTTTAAGGACCATCTTTAGTGCCCAAAGCACCTTCAGGACTTAGGAGAACTGGGAACTCATGATAGGCTCTGCCATCCCCCACCTTCTCTTTCACTCCCTGGGACCAATTTCCTCATCTGTAAAATGCTTTCCTTAGCCACTCTTCAGGTTCTTACTGGCCATAATACTTGGTCGACCTACAATCTGTCAAGGGGTGCAGGAGGCAAAGACCATGAGCTATGCCCTAGAAGGCTGCAGACAGATCCCTGAGAGGGCTGTTGAGGGAGCCGACCACACCCCTCTCTAGCTTGAACCTGGCCAGCCAATTCTCATAGGGATTCCAGGCTATACTGCTTCCTTGATCTTCCCTCCTTGGGGACAGGGAGGGGTCCCAGGGAGGGGGCAAAGGCACTGGAGATGAGGCCTGACTCTGCCTGCTCCCTGGGTTCTACAGGTTTCCACTGGTGGTGTTGGAGGGGAGGGTGTTGGTGAGGGGTCCAACCTTGCGTGCAAGGTGGGACATCAGCAGCCCTGAGAAACAACTTGGCCCCCCTGCAGATCCTGGCCGCCACCATCGACAACTCCCGGGTCATCCTGGAGATTGACAATGCCAGGCTGGCTGCAGACGACTTCAGACTCAAGTGCGTTCCCATCACCCTCTCCCCTCCCTGCATCGCCCCCCCCCTCCCCCGGGCTGGGCCTTCCTCTTCCCCTGCCTCAGCAGCCCAGGCCCCTCACGTTCCCTGACTTTGGGCTCCCTTTCTCTTCCCAGGTATGAGAATGAGCTGGCCCTGCGCCAGAGCGTGGAGGCCGACATCAACGGCCTGCGCAAGGTGCTGGACGAGCTGACCCTGGCCAGGACTGACCTGGAGATGCAGATTGAAAGCCTGAACGAGGAGCTGGCCTACCTGAAGAAGAACCATGAGGAGGTGAGAGCGGCCGGAGGCTCTGGCTGGTGGGAGGCAGAGCAGGGCTGCTGCGCCTCCCCAGAGCTGGCTGAGGGTTTAGTGGTTCAGAAATGCACCCTCCTCGCAAAAAATGTTTCCAGGGACAGAAAAAAAATCACTGTCCTCTGGTGTTCTAGACCCCAGACCAGCCAGCCATGAACTGCTGTCTTGGTTTGTTTCAGGAACTCAAATAAAGATCCTACTCTCTCCAGTCCTCCCTCGGTAGGACCTAGAGAAGGAAAGAGGTCCTCAGAGCTGAGGGGTCCATGCCATCAAACCTTTTTTTGTGTGCAATGGGAAACAGAAGAGGTGGCATGTCATGGTCACATCTTGAATTAGGGACAGAGCCCAGATTGCCCCATTAGGACCCCAGACTCTTGACTCTCTCTTCTGCCCTTTGTCTCTACTGGGCTTCTCCCACCCACAGGAGATGAAGGAGTTCAGCAGCCAGCTGGCCGGGCAGGTCAACGTGGAGATGGACGCAGCACCCGGTGTGGACCTGACGCGCATGCTGTCTGAGATGAGGGAGCAGTATGAGGCCATGGCGGAGAAGAACCGTCGGGATGCTGAGGCCTGGTTCTTCAGCAAGGTGGGCCTGGCCTCCCTGCCCTGCCCCTTCCCAGCTTCCCACTCCCCAGGTCTCCGAGGAGGCCCCTGGGGCTGACATTTCTTGTGTGTGACCCACAGACCGAGGAGCTGAACAAGGAGGTGGCCTCCAACACTGAAATGATCCAGACCAGCAAGACGGAGATCACGGAGTTGAGGCGCACCATGCAGGGGCTGGAGATCGAGCTGCAGTCCCAGCTCAGCATGGTAGGGCCTCCCGCATCTCATCTCACCCTGAGCCCTCAGTGTCAGATCCTCCCATCCTCCATGGCTGGTGAAGCCCTGGAGTTCTCCAGCCCCCTTGGAGGTGGCTGCCTGCATTCCCTTCCATTCCTCTGCCCCCACGCCCTTGGTGGGTTCCAATGTGTCTACGGATCTGTTGCTCCATCAGAAAGCCGGGCTGGAGAACTCATTGGCGGAGATCGAGTGCCGCTATGCCACACAGCTACAGCAGATCCAGGGGCTCATCAGTGGCCTGGAGGCCCAGCTAAGTGAGCTCCGCTGTGAGATGGAGGCTCAGAGCCAGGAGTACAACATGTTGCTGGACATCAAGACTCGGCTGGAGCAGGAGATCGCTACTTACCGCAGCTTGCTTGAGGGCCAGGATGCTAAGTAGGGGTTTGGGCCTGGCGGGAGGAGGGCTGTGATGCAGGGTCATCCTAAGAGGACCACAGGGTATCCCGAGGCAGCTTTAAGATACAGTGAAAAAAGAACTGAGCTAGGAGAAAACGGTCTGGACTCTGCTCTGGTCTCTGGCTGTGACCTTGGGTAGGTCATGCTACCTCTCTGGACCTGCGCTTCTCCTGTAAATGATGGAGGTGGTGCTAGCGGTCTCTAAGATTTAATGCTTGTTCCATTCTCTGTGTGAAGTAGATGGGTTATTACTGTAGATCAGAGGGTTCTAGCTTGGGGGAGGCAGGCCTGAAGGATGTAAGGATGTTTCAGGCTCTAGAGAAGGTGGGAGGGGGCTGGAGAGGACCTCTTAGCCGTCCCCAGCAGCTTCTCTTGGGGAGAGCAGGAGTTTTACCCTCTGCTTACATCTGCTTCCCCTCTCCTTCAGGATGGCGGGCATTGGCATCAGGGAAGGTAGGTGCAGGGTGGGGACTGGAGCAATTGAAGCCACTATTGCCCTTGGAATGGGGAGGACAGAAAAAGAGACCAAACACCCAGTGGGGCAGGGAACTCCCATCCCAGGATGCACACCTTTCCCAGTGGGACCCTTGACTGGTCCCAGGTAGGGTGGAGGTTGGGGATTTACTGAGACCACTCCAGGCTGAGCAGGCTTTGTCCAGGGTTTCTCTCTCCCCCAGACCCAGCCTTTCTGCATGGATGGTGAGATGCCCATGATTTCTCCTGTTCACTGGCAGCTTAAAAATCCTGCATTATTGCTCCGAGCTGGCATACCTGCCATTGCTGTTGCTCATGTCTTTGATGAATAATTCAATGCCAGACCTCCTGGCAGCTCGGACAGGATTGGCCAGTGGCCATTTGCAGGGGTGCTGTCCAGTTTTCCCACAGCTTAGCCTGGGTCCTGGCCACCTTGGGAGAGAGAGGGCAGGTTCCTTCATGCTAAAACTTGCTCCTTCTTTCTACAGCCTCCCTGGGAGGTGGTGGCAGCAGCAGTTTCCACATCAAGGTAGAGGAGTCAGTGGATGGAAAGGTGGTTTCCTCCCGAAAGAGAGAAGTCTAAGCGGTCAGCAGGAGAGCAACGTTCCTTGCTACCAGCTCCCCTTCCCAGGCTGAGTTGGGGACTGGAATGCGAGAGGGGGCTGGAAATCAAACTCCGGTCCCTACCTTCAGAAAGCAACTGGCTGATGTAGTTCCCTTCATCTCCTAGTTTGGGGCTTTGCATGTTCTCTCCCTTGTCTAATGCTCTGCACCTCCTTCCTGGCAAGGAGTGCAAGCAACAACTGTTTTGGGTAACAAGCTCATTGTATCGAGTTTATTCCTGCAATAAAGAACTACTTTTCCATTTGCAAGTATTTCTTGGTAGTGTGTCCAATTTTTCTTGGTGGGGATCTGGGTTGGCCTCTGGCCTCCAGGGAGGTCCAGGGTCCCCTTATGCTGATATCTCTATCCTGTTGACCTCTTCCTTGCCCGCTCATATGTAATTCGTTCTTTGAGGAACCCAGGGTGCTAGAGGCTAGAACCACAGTGCAGCTCAGGAGACTTGCTCTTCCATGGGGCCCTGGGGAAGTGTGGGTGTCGGGTTCCCTCAGAGCAGTTTGGTGCATCTAGGACAGAACTTGACATGTCTAGTAATTATTTGCCAAGCGACGGGTTGAACCTATTGTTCTGCATTGTGTGGCTGGTACTGGGCTACGCACGCTGGCCCACGTGTCCCACAGAGTACTCACCACTGGAGTAGAGGACCCTGAATTTGGAGAGATGAAGGATTTGCCCAGTGGCTTCATGGATGGACGGTCAATGACAGGGCTGGACTGGGCCTCACATCTTTATGACTCTAGGACCAGTGCTTGCTCTGGGACCCTGGGCCATGGCCCTTCACCGTCTCTTGCAGGATCTTCTCCTGGCTTCTGCTTTTCCGTATGTGCTTCTCGGACTTCCCCTCTTTTCTAGCCAGGCACACTTGACCTCCAGGTTGGCTCTTTCTGTCTGCCACCCTATAATAAGCTGGCCCCTGTGCCCCCCCCAAACCTACACCTCCTTCTGAGGGGCACTTAAAGTGCCCAGAGGGGAAGATTCCAGGTCTCCTAAGCTTAAGCCTGAAACAACATCAAATCCCACACTTTCTCTTATCCCTAGACTCCTGAGGCCTGATAGAACAGCAGGGTCCACGCATGTCTGGTTCTTGCTTCTGGTCTGGGGCTGGTTTCTCTGAGCTCCAGGATTCATAGCCCTAAACAGACAGCAGGAATGGGGGGTGGGGAGCAGAGAAGTCTGGGTGCCTCAGCTGGGCTGGGTCAGGCCCTGGGGCGAGGACTGGGGATGGGAAAGGAGAACCGGTTCCCTAGTCCTGCTGGAAGGAGCAGGTGGGAGGGGCCTCTTTGGAAAATCTGATCTTTTGGGGAAAGAACCCAGCCCTCCGAGAGGGTCACCATGCAATTTTCTGGGCAAAGGTGCTGCCCCAGAAAGTTTAGTAGAAGAGAGACAAGGTGGTTCCAGCTCTCTCTCTGGGACAGTTGGAAGAGGAATGTGCCTCCCGAGAGCGTGGAGGCCGGAGGGAGGCAAGAGTGTTCACAGTAAGCCAGAACCCGGGCGGGCTTTTCCCGATGGTATCTCATTAGTTCTCCTATGACCCTGGGAGGGGGATGTCAACCTTCAGCATAGTTTCAGAAGAGAGGAAACTGAGGCTTGGGGGGAAGTTAAGCAACTTGAATGAGGGCCACAAATGAGAAATGGCAAAACTAGGTCTGGGACGCGTCTCTGATTCCAGAACCTTTTCTTTCCCTTGATGTCATCAAGTGGCAGAAGCTGCAAGACCTTTCTTTAGAAGGTGTGCTGATCTGAAAGCCATTCTATTTTTTTTCCCTTTGGGTACAGGGATTGAACCCAGGGGTGCTTAACCACTCAGGTACATCCCAGCCCTTATTTTTTATTTAGAAACAGAATCTCCCTGGATTGTTTAGGGCCTTGCTGAGGCTGGCTTTGAACTCGCGATCCTCCTGCCTTAGCCTCCGGAGCCACAAGGATTTACAGGCGTGCGCCATTTCTGCGCCAGGCCTGAAACCCATTCATGACCTCTGGAGCATCCTGTTCAAATGCTGTGCTCACATCTCATTTTTGCCTCCCATGCTGTGGTTTAAGCTCATGCTGAAGCTCCAGACATCGGCTGCAATGTCCCTCATGTCCAGGGAAGAGTGAGGCTCTGTTCCAAGCCTTCTATGGTCCCAGGTGGTAGAAGCTGGGGACTTGGTAGCTGCTCTGCCTCATGAGCCTCTGGCCTCTTGGACAGGTCTCAGTCCTCTGAGTGGCCAGCATATTCTCCCCCTTCAGTTTGCAAAAATAACAACCTCTGCAAAAGATGCAGCGAGGCTAGGGAGGACTCGGCCTGTGGGCTACCAACGTGCCTTCTCTCAGAACTGGACCCTGAATTGGGGGTCTGAGGGGAATCTGCTTTCATCTCCCTGGAGTGCCTATTTCTGCTCTCCTGAGACCCCCCCTAGAGGGACTATCAAAGAGGTCCTTGGAACCTGCCAAATTCTGTCCCCCCCCAGCCTGACCTGGAGAGAAATGCCTGTATCCAGGGATGGCCTACTCCCTGCGGAGCCCTTAAATAGTCTCTGAGAGGACATGGCACACCTTCTGCCTGCCCTGGGCTGAGGCCAGGCTTGGGTTCCAGCCAATCTGGAAAGCGGGCAGCAGGCGATGGCCCCTCCCTTCCCCACAGAGAGAGGGCAGCTTGGGGACTAGAGATTAGAGCCCTGGGTGTGCCTCTGCTCAGGCGGGGCTTCCCAGAACAGGCCTGGGGCAGGCCTGCCACTGTCTCCCTGGGGACCTCAGCTGGACCCTGCCCCTCTTGGGACCTCAGTTTCCCCATCTGTAAATTGAAGAGTCTGGCCAGACCAGGTGACCGTTAAGCTCTCTATGAGACCACTTGTGCCCTGGAACCTCAGGGAGTAGCCTGGACTGTGAGGTGTGTCACCGCAGGCGCTGTTCTTGCCGGGTCCTGGGAGCGGGTGCTGCATCAGTGTGTGTTGAAATGAGACATGGACTCTCTTCTCCTTTGCATTTTCCAGCCAGATGGCAGGACATACTCTAGTAACTTAGGCATGTGCCCACCTGGTGGTCACCTGTGCAGGCAGCTGGCAGCAAGAGAGCTCGCCTCCTGAGATTTGGAGCTGGGGTGACCTCTTGGGATGCCACTCCTGTTTGTCATTTCTTCTCACCTACACCCACTAGACAAACAGGTCCCCAATCAGCTTCCTGGACACTCATCAAGGGCTCCCCTATGCCAGGGGTAGTATTTGGGGGTGCATTTGACCGAGATCCCTGTCCTCAGGGAACCTAACAGAGTGGGAGAAGTAAAATAGGAATGTACTGTCATTTGTCTGGTGGCTGTGGGTGCCATGGTAGCTGTGGGGACCACAGAGGGAAGGAGGCAAAGCCATCTGTCAGGGCGGAGGCTCAGGATTCTCTGGTCATCTAATAACAATGGGCTTGCGTTTCCTCATTGTAACAGGGAGGTGAGATGGAGCAACCCTCCACCTGCCCAGTGCCTCCTGAATCTCAGGTATTTGAGAGGCCTCAAATACTAACTCATCTAATCCCCAATTTTTCAGTTGTGGCTGTGGAGGCACTGAAAGGTTGAGTAACTTTCTCAAGGTCACGGAGCAAATCAGTGTCTGATGAAGGATTGAAACTCAGGTTCACCTCATCTTTGCTGATCTTGCTCTTTCTGGGAAGCCCAGGTGATGTAAAAGGGATTGGAGCGTTGGGTATGGTAGACCTGCAAGGGCCTATGGCATTGAGGCTGGTCTGAAATGACTTCCAAGTAGCTCTGTGCCAAGCAGGTGTTTTTGAGGAGAGGGTGCCGCCCAGAAGGCCTATCTGTGGAGGGGCTGCCTTTCAGTAGAGGCCTCTCCCCTGTGGGGAGCCTCAGGACCATTTGGGAAGTGGGCCAGGCATATTGGGGTCTAGACCTTTGAGTTCAGGGAGAGAGGGAGGAGCCTGCCCCAACAAGAGTCTCTGCATTATGAGCTGGGGGACAGGGTTCAGATGAACAACCTGGCAAGTATGGGCATATCTTTGAGAGCCAGAGACTTGGGAAGGCAAAGTACTGAAGGCGACTCAGATACCAGTTCAATGTAAGGCCCACGATGAGCTGGAGCTGGCGGCAGAGTTAAGGACCCATGTATTTGGGAAGCAGGACCACCCACGGGCCAGGCATGGGGTGCTGTCGAGGCTGGAGAATGGAAAAGGCAGCAGAGGACGCCCTGGCTTGGGTGGGGATGGTGGGAGCACTGGCCTGAGCGTGGTTTACAGGCAGTAGTTAGGACACAGATCACGGAGTCAGAGGTTCGAATCTTGCTTTGACCCAAATGAGCTTTCAAGTTCGAGCTGCGTATTTAACGTCTCTGGGCTTCAGTTTCCTCATTTGCACGAAGGAGATGATAAATAGAGTTGCTTTGAAATTAGATCATGCACACAGAGGGTTGATCATAGCGTTCCATGAACGTTGGCTCGTGCCCTTTCTATTATCTTTGAACATGTGTGGAAGGTGAGGGCAGCAAAATCAAACTGCTTTTCCTGCTCCTCTTACTTCACCCTTAACACAGAGCACTCCTGTGACCCAGTGTGTGGGTTTTACCCCCACATCAAGCAATTTTCTGACAACAATGAGGTGTCCCTCAAGGCAGTTCAATTCTGACAGTAACCAGAGTTAGTGTGGACCCCACAGGTTGGGGGCTCCATCCCACAAAGACTACTCCTTGCTTCAGATGCTAATTGCAAGTCGTTGGTCCCCAGGTTGCTCACAGCTTCAGTCCAATTGGGCTGCAAGTCACAGGGCCCCAGGTCCTCCTTCTTGGGTTTGATTCTTTGGTAGGATAGCTCACAGAACCTAGGAAAACAGTGTGCTCACTCTTGCCAATTTATTATAAAGGTTGCTTTAAAGGAAGTCAGAGGAAAGGATTCATAGGTGAGGTTTGGAAGGGTCTCAGGTATAGGAACTTCTGTCCCCATAGAGCTGGGGCCTGCCACCCTCCTGCTTCTTGTTCATTAGGCTGGGAGCTCTCTGAACCCTAGCTTAGGGATTTTATCACAAAGGCAGGATCAATTATTAACTCTGTCTCTGGCGCCCCTCCCTTCCTGAATGATGGAGGGCGGGTGGGGCTGAAAGTAATTCTAGTGAACAGCTGCCTCTCCAGGAGACCACTGGTACACACCTTGTGAGAACCAAGGGTTTAGGGGCTCTGTGTCAGAGACTAGGGCTGAAGACCAAATAGTAAAACAAATGATGCTCCAGCACCCCTATCACTCTGGGAATTATTAGGAGTGATAGGGGTGATATTAGGTTTAG